TTTTGGGTGGGTGCTTCAAGTCAATCCCGACTCCTGGCATCTTTATGGACATCTCCATGCCATTTCCTTGGCAACTTTACAGAACTTGTTTGCCATTATCTTGGGGATTTTTTTCTACTTTTTTCCGCAGTCCAGGGTTGGGAGAGTGACTGGCCCAAAGCCACCCAACTAGCTTCCATACTTAACTCAGGTCTCTCTGCTCTCAGCCCAGCATCTTAACCATTGTCCCACACTGGATCTCTTTATTAGGAAGAGTTTCCATTTAACATTTATTCCTGAGTAGACTGCATGGTGCGGCTTCGGTTAGACATTTACTTCTGAGTACGTTCCACTGAATTCCATAGAACCGATTAATATATGTATATGTATATGTATAAACAAATGTTACAGGGATATGAAACCATCTGAAAAATATTTATATATTTTTATTTAGGGATGAAATTAAGTTGTTCCCCCCTTCCCCCAAATTCTCCTCAGCTAGCTTACATAGCCTAACCACCTACCCCCAGCTTTTTTTTCCTGACTGGCCAGATATTTCTCATCCACCAACATCCAATGATTTCTCAGAAGCTGCTTTTGTTTAGTTTTTGCTTTATTTCATTTGGCTGGTTTTGTTTAGTGTGCAAACCACCCAGTTGGGCTATATTCAATAAATCAAGTTTAAAACAGCTTAGCATGATGCATGAAACCAGCCAATATTTGATAGTTAGCAATAAGGTTGCACCTACTTAATACTTGAATCAGAGGCCATTAGTCAATATCAGGACTATAGACCGGTCTGGGATGTAGAAAAAAATAAAAAGCCCCCCCCCCCAAAAAAAAATGCAAGGGCAAGCTATGTCTTTACTGCTGCCAAGAAACTTACATGGATGTGATCATATAATCCCTAGAACTTGGCTCAAGATAATTTTTATCTTCTTAACAGGTAGCAGCAGTCAGAATTTGACAGTCACTGTCACCTGACATCTAAATCAAATTAGGGAAGTTTTATTTATTCAGCCAAAAGACACAATCCCATGAGGGGCTGATTTAAAAAAAAAAAAAGCTTATAGTAACTAGCAACCTTGGATGATCTTGAACAAAGGTAAACTGGCTTGGACACCTGGTTAGTACATGGAGATATCTATGAAACCACCAAAAGTGAAGCTCAACTGGATGAATGACTCTATGTCAAATGCCTGCTGAAATTTATTTCTGTTATTAAATATCAAATTTGAACTGAAAAATTAAAAGTTCTTGGAAATCTGAAAGTTGCAATTTCATTCTATTCCAGTTCTGAACTGCATCAACCTGCAGAAATTATTCTGAGTGGAGAACTGAATTTTATCCATTCAATGTTTGGATTTGTAAGTTTCAGCTCAGAATATAAGAATTGTAGTTATTCAATGGAAAAAAGAAAACGGAAAAAATGTAGTTATTCACTGTCTCTGTATTCTGATTATGCCTGTTTACAAGAGGTTTAATTTAGAGAGGGAAGTGATATATCTTTAGGATGCTGATCCCCAATCTTCACCCAACAGTTTAGAAGTCTTAAGAGAATTTTCTTCATATGAAATGTCACTTATTTTGAGAACTTGTGGAATGGGTATCAGTCCTTACCCAAAGTTCCCTGTTCACATAAAGCTTTTGCTTTTCCAAAGCCACATGTAGTTAAAAAAGAAACCACAATGGGAATCTGTTTGCTTATTTTGCTGAACAGCAGTTTGTTGCTTCCCCATATTTTTCTGAATTAACCACAGCTGGCTGGCATCACGCAAAGGATCAGTTGTGGCTAAAAAGATATCAACCTATTTTGAATCAATTACATTAATAAAGAAGCCAACACTGCAGCCCCAGTCCTTAAACAGGAGGCAATGAGTTGTTTCTCCAGGCAAACAGTGCAAGTTGCACACTTTTTGATGGGCATGGCTTTGTACTCCTTAGCATTAATCTGCTTAGAACTCTTCTCCTTTACCTTCTCATTGAGCAATTTGGAAATTGAAATTTGTAATGGGCAGATCACCAAGAACATGTCTGGTGTACGCTTAAAGCAGAAGAAAGAAGGAACCTTTTCTTGTCTGAGTTGCAATATGCAGCTTTCCAAATTAAGCAAAGGTGATTCATGACTGAATTGGGTGATGCAAGCAGTCTCCCAGACACATACCACAAGGCGAGCCCCATAGTTTACTACTGGAGTGTCTGCAGGTTGCAAGGTTGGGATGGGGCAACAGCAAAGATCTTGTTTTCTTTATCTCCCATTCCTTGAAGATTTTGACTTGAGACTATCTTGAGACTGGAGACTATCTCATCCCTAGCTAAACAGCCTAGGGGCACATTACAGCACTTATTCCTAACCATCCCAAGTTATCCTTTCCCTCTACTATTGTACCAACTTGTAAGCAACTCAAACCACAGATCTTTTTTTTTTTTTTTTTAAAGATGAGATGTATGGTGTCCAGTACAGGGTGAGCCCTCTTAGAATTCCCAAGCAGCACAGCCACTATATTAAAAGAAAAAAAAAATCCAGTGAATTGCCCAAAGACTGGTCCCTATGTGGCTTTTGCCATGTGGGTGCCGTTTTGAATCCCTCCTTGTGCTGAGTGGACCATGTGGTTAGCCATCCAGGTCCTAGAATTCACCAGGTGGATTGACTAGCTTCGTCCCATAGTTCTAGGACCTTTGCCAAGCCATCATGATGATAGAGAAAAAGGTCTTCTCCATCTGCATGACAAGCCTCAGCTCATGGATGGTTGTCATTTTATGAGCTAGAAATACGCTAATAGGTGGTATGAAGTTGCTGTCCACAGTAGTGGCTAATCATGCCTCCTCTCCCCCCTTTTGTATTCAGGAAAGTAAAATACATTGCCTCTTGGAGATTTGAATTTAACAGGAACCCTTGTTAAAGTATATGCTTCTGAACATAAGCAGAGCTCTGAAAGAATACTAAGTACTTTTTCTTTTATCCGCACTCAATCGTTACCGATTCTGCGGCGACTGCCTGGACAAGTCCCTGAAGTTTTCAAGGCAAGTGTTTCGGAAGTGGTTTCCCATGGCCTCCTTCCTAGAGCAGAGCCCAGCTGGCAAGTGCAGGAGGCAGGGTTTCCATTGCTTCGCACCTTTTTCGGGCGTGTGCAGCTTCCGTGTTACTGGCAACTGCTCCCGTCTCCTTTGCAGGGTGCCGCCAGCATTTTTCCTCCCACCGGGGTGAGAGTACCCATTTATCTACTCACGTAAGTTTTCAAGCTGCTGGGTTGGCAGGAGCTGGGGAGGAAGCAGGAGCTTGCTCCGCTGTGGAGAGCTGGGCTCGGACCGCGGAAATGTCGACCACTTCTGGCCATCAAC